CTGTATGTAGTATGTTCGCGTGTGTCAAATGTCCAGAATCTCCACATTCTTTCCCCGAATGGTAAAACATATAACATTGTGTACAGTAGCGTCTTAAAATAGTGTTCAGTTAGTTTTTTTTTTCCAAAATTCCCACAATCAATTAATCAGAATCCCCACAGATCTTCCCCTTCAATTCAAAATTTCCTATTTAGCTCAGTTCCTTTTCAATTCCAAATGCTGCCTCTCTGACGGACCTATTAAGCTCAGTTTCCTTTCAACTCAAAGGGCTGCATCTCTGACGGATATCTTATTTGGCTCAGTTTCCTTTCAATTTAGGAAACTGCATCTCTGACGAATCAATTTAGCTCAGTTTCTTTTTAAAATTCTGCATCCCTGACGGATAATTATGCTCAGTTTCCTTTAATTAAAAAATATCCCATTTCCATTTGGAATAAACAGGCTATTTTCATGCTTTCCTATACGCTGCCTTTCAAAACATTTAAATAGTCTGACGAATCAATTTTGCTCAGTTTCCTTTTAATGGCTACATCTCTGACAAATATATAAAACTCAGTTTGCTTTAAATTCAAAAAGCAATGGAGAGTTCATTTCCCATTGACCATGCGGACGAAGCCGCGTGTAACAGCTAGTATACATCTAAATCTATCCTCGGTTAATTCAAAATAAAGATGTGTTATCCACCCCGAAGACTACGACGGAATGCATCGTTTACTGTTAAAAGGGTCTCCATCTCTCCACACTCACCTTAAGAGACACAGTCCTAATCTGTTGTTTCATGCTGGCATTCTGTGAGAACGTGGTTTTACATCGCTAGATGTGAGTTATTCATGCTGCAGCTATTATATATTTATAATTTAGCTGGTGCATGATTATAAAAGTAAGCCTGTATAAAATACATTGATAACATATTAAACAAAAATCGCCACCGTTATCAGGCGTACGTCAGCAGTCCGTATCTGGACGTACGCCCCAATCGTCATTAATCGTCACGCTTAGCAAACGGAATAACAAATGCAGTACCAGATGTGAGCAAATTTGGCACTAAATAGAGCTAATAGTAAAACATGTAGTTAATCAATGGATGCGGGTGACTGAGGACTGAGTTCGTGTCATGTCACATGATGACATCTTAATTTTTTTTCTTTAATGACGAGTTCATTCATCATAATACTACGCCTATTATTTGATCAGTGTTAATTAATAGGAAATTATTTTTTAATTTATTATAATTTGTTCAAGAATCTTTTCACAATATTTTGATTCATGTTGATCACAATGCGCATTCCTTGAAGACAGAATCCTCCACAGCAATATTCTGCATTTTATTATGACAAGATTTAGACTGAAATTCGTGACTATTTCATAATCACCATCATTACAGCCCTTCACAAATCCCACCAAGGAATGCCAGAAAGCACGCTTCGGAGTCACTTGCATCCTTCGACCTTCTGAGACTTCCTTCCTGCGAATATATCATATAATAACTCCAGAACGTCTTTCGCTGTGAAATAAGGTAAATGTCCACTTTAAGGAGTCACTTCATAAATCTATTTGAACAAAATAATTTCTCATGATTTTTAAGAGATGAAATTTAAGAATAAAACTATTATTTACGGATTTTATCGCGTTTAATTCAACTTTAATTTATTTTTAGTATCCCGACATTTCGGGTGTTTTACAGCACCCGTGGTCACGAGGGGGACTGAGATGTTTGACGTCCCAATGTCATAGTTAGTCCGGCTACCTTCAGTTTTTGAATATTAATTTTTGGTCCAACCAAACCAACCAAAAATTAATATTCAAAAACTGAAGGTCGGCTACCTTACCGACTAATTCAAATCCGTAAATAATAGTTTTATTCAATGTGTAGTGTTCGCCTAAATTTAAGAAATCATTATGATATTTAAGAATTCATGACTTAAGATTATATTAAAATATTATTATATTTTAGAATTTCATAATTTTTCGTATTTTAATTTATCGTTATTGGGTACAGCATGTAGCATTTTTAGGGCGAGGCTCTTTTTTGAAGGTCCCTAAGTCGTGTTAGTTCGGAAAAATAGCAGGTGTTAGTCGATTCTACAAAATGTTTTTTTGTTGAAGGATAACTTTTTTTTCATATTATATTTATTATTAAATAGGAGTTACATAACATTAGAAGTTTGTGGCGTGTTATCGTGTTAGACAGGGCCTATTTCGTGAAGACGTATTCATTGCTGTCTGTGATTTGATGTTTGTCCAGCGGGACTCGTAGCGTGAAAACGTGTTTGGCGTTTCCAATTTTAGTTAAATTAATAAAGTAATTACTTTATGAAATCAAAAAAACAAAAAAAAGTTACATGTTTAAAACAATTGCAAGTACTGAAAGTTTAAATTTTTTTCGCGGCAATTATGGCACATCTTTTGCGAACATTCTACGCATATTGATTTTTACATACATAACAAAGGTGAAATGTTTTACGTTTTTTTTTAGGGTCGCAGGTTGTACAGGTCTTGCGAGTTTCCAGCTTGTCACCACCGAAACTGCTTGGTATTTCTTCTTCTATTTGAAGTATTCGGCCAATAGAACCTCTGATATCCCGCGGAATGTGTTCATTCGTTCTTTGTCGCTCCATGTGCGGTCGTGTTAACTGTTCTGCCAATTTTTTTATGAACTTGGATCTGCTTCCGGTCTTTTGCGCCTGATCAGACAAACTAACAATGTAGGCGTTTGAAAGCGATATGTCCAACAATCTATAAAAAATGACCACTTCTTTGATCCAGTAAATCGATGTCTATTTTCGTTTTATTACGGTATATAATGATTTCTGGTTTTGTGGTATTTTCATCAACGCTTGCTAATAATAATAATAATAAATCATAATAACAGCCTTGTTCTTATTTTGTACATAAGATGACAAAGTCATATCTTTTGTGAAACCGAAAACCGGTGATTCAACTGTTCTTTTCTTAGATGCCTTAAATTCTGGTTGTATTTCGCGCTTGTTTTTTTTTTTCAAAGTACCAACAAGAGTCAATTCTTTATCTTTCAAAAAATTGACTAGTTCTACAGATTAAAACCAGTTATCAGCCGTAATGTTTCTGTTAGTTCCCTCAATAACAGATATGAGACGTAAAACTGCTTGTGTCGGCTTCGATAGTCGCTGTTGTTCCGTTGTCAAAGTGAGCCCATCAGAACCTTTCCCTAAATAAATGTAAGCATTGACAAGGTAACCATTTCTTGCGTCTGTTAGGCACATTATTTTTAAGCCGTACTTAGCTGGTTTCTTTGGCATAAACATTTTGAATTTGCAGCGACCACGGAAAGCCACTAACATCTCGTCTACACAAGCGCGGGTACCTATGTTGTAGATTTCTTGGCATTGCTGAATAAACGAAGCAAACAGTTCCGATATAGGAGCTGACAAATCAGCCTCTCTCCTCTGCTCTCTAGTTTCTGCATCATCAAAACCAACAGCATTCAATAAAATTTCTAATCTACTTTTACTCATTACGCAGTGATATATTTCTCTTCCAGAACCATCAGTATTACACCATGAAGTATATTGTTCGTGATTGTTTTTAAAGATAGCAGAGTAGAATAAAATACCAATAAAGGCCTTCAACTCCATGAGATTCAAATCCTGAACATTCGTTTGTTTTTTGTATTGCGGTCTCATCTTCCTTATTTTTTTTTATTAGTATGCTGAACAATTTTTTCAAGCATCCACCCTGAAAAACAAAGCTTCCAAATATCGAGAGGCGTTGGTAAGAATATCTCGATATGCTGGCTTTACTCCTGGCGCTTGTGAAACAATATTATGCGGCAGAGTTCTCGAACGACTAGTGCAAGGTGTAGAAGACCATCGGAATCGGTTCTTGGCAAAAAAAAAATCCTTCTCGTAGTTTGGTGTTGCACGAAAGGAACCTTATCTTCTGATGAAAAGCTGTCACGCGTAACTGGCGATCTACTTCGTGAGTAAATAAAAAACGAAGAAACATCATCTTCATTTCCAAACGGAAATTGCTCTTCTTCTGAAGACGATCCGCTCTTGCTACCTTCAGAGTCATATTCACATTCCTCTTGGAGCATAATCTTCCGCAACATCGAACTCCACATCACTGGTATCTTCATTCAGTATCTCCTCCTGATCTGACACTTCTATTTCTAGCCACCGCGCAATATTTTCGTCGTTTATGCTCATTTTACACCAAAACAACAAAAAACAATATCAAGACAAAATAATCACACAACAACTTACGTGCGGTCAAGGTGACCGCTTACGAAAATCTCTTATTTATTGTAGCTGAATGCGCGCACATTGACACATGTCGAGCGCAGTGTTGCCAACTGCTAGCTTTACCCAGTAGCTAGACATTTTCAAAATGTTGCTAGATTTCCAGTTTTTTTTTACCATAAACATTTGCTAGAAGTTGCTAAATGTTACAGTAGATAAGTAGGTTACAATAAAATGCCAGTTTCTGATAATCATTTTTATTCATTAATTCCAATGGGAAGTTAAATTAAGTCCTGTGTATGCAATAGAATAAAAAATTAAAAAATAAATTAATCAATTAAAGAGGAAGATGTCAATGGCAGGGGTTCAGTATCTTTCATTGATTTCGAATATTTTTCAACGGTGCCTATTTTATGCAGTACGTCTTTAGGCAAAACACAGTTATAGCAGCATTTACCACTTTTCCTGAGGGAGTGTCTTTTGCAGAGGACTGAGTTCAGAGTTTTCAAAATAATTCTGTTGCTTTGCTTATTTTTAACTAAATTCATTTGAGAGAATAACCTTTCTACCTCTGCATTAGAATATGGCAGTGAAAGGCAAGTTAAAGCAAGAGTACTTATTTCTTGATATATGATGTCACCGGAAGAACATCGAATTTTTTTTACTTTGACCCAAAACTGAACTATTTCTTCAGAATGCCACTTATTTATATGTAGAATGTGCCACTGTTGCATTATCTTGTCTATTATTTCTGGTGTAAATCCCAAAATTTCAGCAACGTCAGGTGATAGTGTTTGATTTGATTGGTTTTATTGCCTTATCTGGACTTAGCAACGCCATTGGTTCTAGCTGCTTGTAGTTGTCTGGAAGCCTTTGTTGCAATTCCTTAAGTAATTGCAGTAAGAAGGCGAAGCAGCGTTGTCGTATTACATTTAAAATTTCCGAGTCTAAATTATGTTGAGCAGTTTCAAACATGTAGCCAAGATAAGGCCTAGGGTTAATATTCCTGTCAGTTATTGGATCTAATAAGTTTCTGTTTACAGGTCTTGGCATTAAAATTCTCTGACTCACTGATTCTATCAGTGTTGTGAGTGTATTGAGAAGTTTTAATGGATTAGAGTTTTCACATTCAAATGATTTAATTGCTATTTGAACATCATTTAAAACGCTTCTCAGAAACACAAAACATAAATAATTTCTTTTTCTTCTAGCATGTTGTAAATAAGCTCAGCTGTGTAGCAATTGTATTTCACTCTTGCTAAATTAAAATGTATTTTCAATTCTTCCCATTGTGTCACAATTTTTGTTATCACTGGCTCTATTGAAAGCCAACGTGTACGCACACCTTGGTGATTTTCAATGGACTTTCGCCACAGTTTATAAGTTCGTATCTTTTTGTGTATTCGTCTCGCCGCTTAGGAGACACAGAAAACCATTTATAAATTTCTCTAACCAAAAACTCTAAATTTCTTGGCAGAGTATTTTCGGAGGCATGTGTCACTGCTAATTGCAACGAGAGTATCAAATTTTCTATACCATATTATCTTTTTAGGATTGCATGAACCCCGTTATTAATGCCTGTCATAACAAATGCATTGTAGTTCCAATTCCAATAATTTGTTTGATATCTAAGTTGTGACTCTCTAAGCATGATACCAAGCCATTAACGATTCCCCTAGCATCTGCACTCTCAATAGAAACTAGTTCCAGGAATAAGCTTACTATCCTTTCCTGTGCGGCACTATAATACCTAATTACAAGACCAAGGTGTTTACTGACACTGACGTCTGTGGACTCATCCATTATAATGCTGAACTTTTGGTTTCCAATATAATCTAAAGCTAAAGCGCACAATTTTCATTATTTCTATAAATTTAGTGCGATGCAATTTAAGCTCCTGTGTAGCTTTGGAGTCTTTGAAACACATTTTGCATAGTTCACCTAAATGGTCAACACTTAATATTATAGAACAGTGCTCGGCAATAAATAAGGTCAATGCGCCTTCAGATTCATCGCAAGGTCTAAATAAATGGTCTTTCGGTACAACTTTGAAATGAATTTCTTTATTGTTTTTTTTTTCAAAGGTAAATCCATTTTCAAAGTAAATCAAATTAGTTTTATATGGATAAAACAAAACAACACAAGGTAGAATACGAATAGCGCGTACTATTTTAGTTTACTAAGTATTCTGTCGCAGAGGAAACAGGGAATTCCCGGCCAGCGTCGACCTGTACTTACCATAGCATCTATGACCATAGATTTTTTTCTTTCGACTCGGCACTACTCGACGAATTTCGATAGACTTACGTCTCATGATGAAATGAAAAGTTGCTAGAAAAAGTAGCTAAAAAGTTTAGCTACAAGTTTTATTAAATTGTAGCTGTCTGTCACCAAATAATATCTAGATCTAGCCATAAAGTTGCTAAGTTGGCATCACTGGTCGAGCGACAGCGCGTTATTAACCGGGATTTAGGGAAGGTAAATGAACGCACACAAGCGTAAGACAAACACACGTTGAGATATAAACGATTAAAAAACCGTTGGGGTCGTGGTGACCGCGGGTAAGTGGTTAAGGGTTATTTTGCTGAAGTGAACGGCAGAGCCGGCATGGGATGTTCTAGATGGAAATTTATCAACTAATTCAGTGATATATTGAAATTGGATCAAATTAAAAGAACCTTTAATCGCCGAGCATGTATGCGCAGGTAAATGAATGTAAAAGGTACGAAAGAGGGGTGTAAGGATCGTGCCAAATGGAAGTCTGCCTACCCCTCTGGGTGACGGGTTAAGTGTTTATGTATAGTATACAAAAGAGAAACAAATATATTTTTATACATATGTTACATTATTAATACATATTATATATTATTAATATATATTGCAGGCAGTCAATAATATCAAATTATAGAAAATTACCTTTCAGGTGACCATAAAAATTTCATCAAAATCGGTTTTATTCATTGTCATTCTGATGTGATTTTTTTCGGGAATTCAATTTGACGAGACGAGAACTTGACTAAGATTGAAACGCTGTGTCACATAACAAATACTACGATATAAAAAGGAGACAAATCGCTCTATTCCATTGCGATTGCATATTGTTTCCTGCGTTGTTTTCTGCGAAGAAAAAACAAAGAGGTGAAGTTTGTGATAATATTTTTTTTAATTGAAGCAATCGGAAGAAAATATGAAGACTCATTTTTATTTAGTACTAGCCGTCCGACCCTTCGTCTGTGTGGTATCTATAAATGTCATTTATTTAGTCATTTAGATTTTTTGAGATAAACATCGACCATAACATTTTATATTTTCTTAAAAAATCGTTTTGTCCTATAAAATATAGCCTAGATTACTCCTGAAATTGATCTCTATTTGTCCATAAAGTTTTATCACAATCGCTTCAGCCATTTCGAAGATTAGCCCAGAGAGAAAGACAAAAAGGTTTTAATAAATGTCTCAATGGTATGAAAATATCAATGCTGAGCTCTATTAAAGACAGTTATTTCGATATTACAGATAGACATTTCAATTATATTTATATTAATAGATAAAATAAAATACGTTAATCACTTAGAAAATTTTGCGACACTAAAAGAATTTTCTTTGGCTAAAGTTTTATTATTAAACACTTTCAAAGAACTGCCCTGAATATCAATGCAAAGTTTCATTTAACCAAATCCTCTAAACACAAATTTTAGTGATTAGAAACAGAATCAGTACTGAGCAAGGGTGTACAAGAGGAGAAGTATTGTAATAAATACCCCCTGAATAATTTTTACAATTTGAAGGCACTGTCTATATATCATAAAAACTACTTACTATCAGATTGAGAGTGTCCTCGCTTGTCACCCATAATTCAAATAAATTATTAAATTATAAGGAATAGACAATGATTCCTAATAATATAAGCATTGTGTAAAAGTAAAGTTATAGTCCATACAGAATTTTTCTAAAAGGGTTTTAAAGCAAGGTGAGTCTGCCATGCGACCCGAATTTGTGTTGACGTATTTAATACGTCTTTGAAATATTATTGTTCTAAATTTCTAATAATTTTAATTTTCCGATACGGTCAAGTATGTGGTAAATCTGCACTTAAAATTACAATCAATGATTCCATTGGTGCCAGTGGGGAACGAATCTAGTCTGCTACAGTATTGTAAAATATACGTCGAGCGTCTAACCTCTGAGCTATCAAGAGTTTTTAACATTCTTTAAAATGATTTTAATAATTTTAAGCCTTTATCACTATGTCAGCGAAGTCATAGCGACTTCTTTCCTGCTTAGGAGTCTATTTAGGCAGTAACATCCTCTTACCTATTTCTAAAGCAAAGCAGCAGGGCATGCAGTGCTGTGTTCAGGTCTGAAGAGTATAGAGACCCAGTAGTAAGGCATTCCATCTCGATCCTTAGAGGTAACAACGTATTTGTAGTCTTCTTTCTTTGGAGTTGGTTGGAACTATCCGTAGAGAATTATATTAAATTGTAATAGTAGCATTTTATTTAATTGTGAACGCAGCTCTACAGCTCTAATAAAACAATTATTATTGTGGTCTGTATGATCTATTTTAATCGCTGCTATGGCTTTTGTTAACTGCTAAGTCCTACATTTTCAATGAATTTAAGGAGTTGTTTAGCTGTAAGCAACTTCAATTCTGGGCTAAGTACATAGTTTCCCAGATGAGTGTTATGTTTGCGCACAATCAGTAGGGTGTGCAGAGGTGATTCTGCCGTTAAGGAATTAAATGGTACATCCTTAAGTAGTTTAGTACTAAGATGGACATATGTGCTTGTTTTAGACAACATAGTCCAGTCATAACTTTTGCTAAGAATACGCAGTTTATTCTTTCTTAATCCCAGGGCTTATGAAGTGAAATTAGAATCATCAGCTCGGTTTAAGGTTTTAAAATGTTTTAAGGCTAATGTATTAGACCAGATCTTAAGTGATTCATTTTGATGAAAAGTTTCAAGGGTCAATCGGGATACGCTTCAGAGATTCCACAAAATGGCTCAAGACCCAATTTTGTACTCTTTGAATCCTCCCATGCGAGCTTGCCAGCAGTAGCAACTTAACATCATATAGACTGTAGGTTCGTTTGCCACTTGAACTTTATAAAAAATAAAATTAACAAAGCCTTGATAACGATTTCCATATCGAACGAAATTTACGGTACGATTTTATATCACCTTAAATTAAATCCAAACCGATTTGGTGATTCAACTTTCTTCTTTCTCTGTATAGCAGACGTATTGTAACTGTACGAAACGCTCGATCGACGCCCTCTTTTAGTAGGAAATAAATAACAAAGTCAAGCCCAATAGACTGTAAGGAAGGATTTCCGCAAGATCATTAAGATCTCCGTGTTCACTGAAACTTTTCCAGGTTATTTTTGAGCTTTTTCGTGTTTAAATCGTATTGTTAAAATTTGTATAGGTATACAATTGAACAACTCTGTCAGTCACAACATTGATACTGTAATCGATTTATTTTTTAATTTTTTTTAATGGATTTATTTTCTAATTCAATATCTCTAATATACACACATAATGTTGCAATGTAATAACTACGAAAAACTAAATTTGAAATATGAGCATTAACTAATGTTAGAAATTTTCATAACAAAATTAAATAAAAACGGTTACAAACGAGTACGTAACCCACTGCGGATAGTTATTGGATGTTGTGACCCATACGCATCTATACCTATCATCGAAATGCGTTGCCTGTTATTTTGCGCTGGTATTCTGTGAGAGCGTGGCCCTTTTCCGGTGAAGCCGACGTATTCGTGCTAAAACCGTTATATAGTTGCAGCGAGGTTTTACAACGCGGAAAGTAGAAAAATATGTATGAAAACTGTTTTATACTGGCGGAATAAAACAATTTTCATTTACGAGTTAAATTTGTTAAATGCAAATAGTGTTCTTGGCACTTAACTGTGAGAAGCCACATGTATTTATTTTTAAGGTTGCTGCGAAATAAATGGCCTTATAAAATTTAACGATTCATTAAGAAGCGCGTCTTGTAAGTTTTTTAAGTTATATGTCAGTGCTTGACGTCTGTTCCACTTAATGGTAAGCGGTGATGCAGCAGAAGAAGGTAAAACATATTTTTTCATATCAGGCTTTTCAACTATTTTATTCTAAACCTTGTATTTAAGATATTCAACAGTGGAAGGTTAAATTATTGATCTAAGTAAACACAATATTGTTTGAATATAACTTTTACTTTTAACTCTAACACGATGGATTAACTATGGGATGTAATGACATAGGCAAATCTGAATCTCAAGGCACAAGCTTTATTTAGTTTGGGACAAATATTTACGTTAAATTGTAGTGATTGTTCGTGAATATTAAATAAAGTTTTAAATAAATATAAATAAGTTGGCATTTAAATTAATAATAATAAATGAGTATTGAAATAAATAAACAATTAAAGTATAAAATAAATAATACAAACTAACAGAGAATAAGTCTACCGCTTGTAAAACTAATAAAAAAAATGCTTGACGTAGATTGGAACGCTGCGGCACGTACTCGTACTCTGCGACGTGAAAGAAGACAAATGGCTCTTATTTTATCTCGAATGTATACTAGACACTTCTATCAACGTACGAACAAAGAAACTATTGTTTGTGATATTGTTATGCAATAGCATAAATTACACGGTCGCAATTATACCGAAATTACGTACATCTATCATTATTATTTTACTTTAATTAATGGCACTGATATTAATGGGTATGTAATTATTTATGGGCCATTACTGTTACAACCTTTAAGGAGAACTATGTTCGGCAGTGTACTTACACTGCCGAACATAGTTCTCCTTAAAGGGAGGGGATATTTGCCGTAGTTGCCTCACAAGGCGGGCGAGTATGGCAACCACACTATTATTTTTAAGTTGTTTTTAGAAAGACGGGTCTAGGCTTAAACTAAAAAACCCGCGGAAATAAGCTAACTAAAATCTAATTTAATATGGAATTAGAATACAAGCATCAAAGGTTAATGGCAGACTTGTATGGGAATTTCGTACCTCTAATAAAATTTCGTGTTTAGTCAGTAGGTTAGACGAACCCCTTTTCAATTCTTAGATATTTAAAACTTACATAAAAGTTATAACCAGTTTCTATTTTTAAGGTTATGTACATAGACTAATATCTAATATTGGAGAGTTATGTACTAGTGTTCCATTTTTTTATTTAACTGGATTTGCGGCTCTGGGTTCTAGCCCCTCTGAGCCTATCATTTCTTCCGTAATCTTCGTTTTTATATATTTGTTTCTTCACAAAATGCTGATGCGTCACATTGCGAAGTT